CGCACTGGGACCCCAGACCCAAGGAAATGGGCTCAGGGTCCCCTTTGTCCCAGTGAGAAGCCCAGATCCTACACTGTTTGATGGACCTCCCACCTGACCTTACGTCTTCACTCGAGAAAAGGGACCAGTTCTCTCTGCCCCACCGCCAGCCAGGATAACCTTGGCTTCATCGACAGCCTTCACCCCGATCACCCTGCCCCTGTTTTTCTGCCCTGTATCCAGAATGTTTTCTGGACGACCACTCGTCTTGTGGGTGTTCCCTCTGAAACACCCACCTGACAGGCGGGTGGGCCGCCTGTCTTCTGTGCGCCCCAGCAGGGCGGGTCTCCCGTCCTGTTCGGCACAGAGCCTGGGACACGGTGACGAGTGTGTTTTCATGTTAGTTTGGAACCAGCCACGGGCTCCGTGCGCGCCTGTGCTGCGCGGTAGGTGTGCCACACTTTTTCCCCCACGACTTAGACCCTGTTTTTTTTCCATGTTAAGTTATAGAGGTTGAAGTCTGTTGTTTTACTTCTTTTGGACACCTTTTTGGGTAGTTCTCATATGAGCGCCTGCCCTGCAGGGTAGTTAGGGGGATTAACCCCTCTGACAGTCAGGGACCCCGTCAATGTTACCTGCCGCCCCTGCTGGGAGCCTCTGCTTATTTCGAAACTCAGCAGTGGGAGCTGTGTGACACTGGATGAGTTACTTAACCTCTCTGGGCCTCCGTCTCCCATGTGTGAAATGGGGTTAAAGTGAGCACCTCGCCTGTAGTGTTGAGTGCTGAGGGTGAAATGAGATAATCCACTGAGAGGGTTCGAGCAAGGCCTGGTCATGGAGTGTGCTCAGGAGGGGCCTTCTGCTGCCGCGGCCACTAATTCCTCTGAGAAGTGACCTCGGGGAGGACCCCAGGCCCTGATATTGTCGTCAGTTGTGTATTTTCTAGGAAAATAGTGTAAGTAATCTGTTCCCCACCCATGCATGCTCACTACTAAAAAGTTTTGTAAGCACAAAAAAGAATGGAAATTTGTAATCCTATCCCAATGTCAATATTTTATGGCCATCCTTATTTTTTTCTGTGTATTACAAATCTGTGTGTTGCCCCTCCCCCAATTTTTACTGCATGTGTTTTTAAAAACGTACCTAGAATAATAATGCATGGCTCAGAGCCAATGTAGTTAGTTTCTCATTGGTACCGCTGACTTCCATTGCTGGGCTCCGTCAGCGGCTGGGGGACTTCCAGGGCGTGTGTGTGGGGGTCCCTACATCCCTCTGCAGCCCTCGTTGAACTGGCAGGGACATGCCTCGCCTCCTGACTGACACTGCGTGCGTGGTGACAATGTGCCTTACTGGTTAATGCTGGGAAAAAAAAACACTGGCCCAAGTGTCCATTTGGGGGGGGGTTCAATTCTTAAAATATGTTAAGGTTTTTTATAACTCACTTTATAAAAGGGCACCATAAGGGATCCTTGTGGTGGTGGATACACAGACCTTCATAGGTGATAAAATTGTATAGGGCTTAGTAGTCACACATGTGAACACACATACACAAGCGCGCGCATGCACGCGCACATGAAGCTGGGGAAGCTTGAGTAACATTCAGGGACTGTGTCAGTGTCAGGACCCTGGTCGTTACATCATTTCTTACATCAAAAAATCAGCTTAAGAAAGTTAAGTGTAGCCCTGGTTGGTATAACTCAGTGGATTGAACATGGGTCTGCGAACCAAAGGATAGCAGTTCGATTCCCAGTCAGGGCACATGCCTGGGTTGCAGGCCAGTTCCCAGCAGGGGATGCATGAGAGGCAACCATACATTGATATTCCTCTCCCTCTCTCCTTCCCTTCCCCTCTAAAGATAAATGAATGAAAAAAAATTTTTTTAAAAAGAAAGGTGAGTGTAATTTCTGATGACTAGAGTCCCAGAGAAAAGCAGCCCTGAATCGCGCTCTCTTATGTCAGGGTGACGTAGAGCAGGTGAGTTACCACGTGGCGGTTTTCTTTTCCCCCTGGACAGCAGGGGACTCTGTCCTTTGAGAGCAGGGTGGACAGTAGCTGGCCCTCAGTCACAGTGCAGGTGTCAGCACAGAGAGAGAGGCCTTTGCTGCCTGCCCTGGTGCATTTCGGCCACACTGACGAAAGGGGTGTTCGGATGCCCACCTCCCGGCCGCCTGGCCGGGGGCTCCAGCGTCTTATCTGCTCTGTGCAGCTTGAGACCCAGTTCCTGTCCGCGGCATAGGAATCTTCGAGTAAGGATTTCTAGTGACCTTGAGCTGAGGAACTATTTACAGCAGTTTGAGCTGGACTCCATCTCCATCAAATTCAATTCTGGTTTAAACCAACCCTTAGAAATCCCCCCGGCCTTTCCTGACCTGGCTGCCCCAAGGCACTCCCTGCAGCAGGCACTGGGGATCCTGCCCTTCAGTGGTGGTGGCGGGTGGGGACACAGTGCCGGGTGGGGGAGAGGCAGGGAGGAGGAGCCCCCTCTCCTGGCTCTCAGGGTTCTGTGCTGGTTGGGTTTCAGATTTGGAACCAGATTTTAGGTCACCTTCTGAGGCTAGAAAATCATTCCAACAGATCGGATTTCTCTGAGCTCCTTCCCTGGGACGATCTCTACTTGCACTTAATCAAATATTTAGAGACCTATTGTATTTCACGTTTGTAATGCATTGCCATCTGTAATGCTCCCGAGTTTGGCTTCAGTTTCCAAATGCCTGGCATGGGCTGTTATTGAATGTGGGTCATTGCCAACACCAAACTTTCTAGAATCTTAGCTAAGAAGAGTTACTAAGAAGTTATTATTTAGCCCAAAAGTGGCAGGTTTCAAAAAATTTTATACTTTGGCCCTAAATTCACTTGCATTTACTCCTTCCTCCACTGAATAAAACTCATGCGCCTCCTTCGTGTTTGTTGAACTGCAAATCAATTCCTTGCCATTGATTTAAAGTAAAACAACCCTGAGGCTTATTTTTTAGCAGACTATCTTTCTGTTGCATGAGTTTTTCTCCCATGGAAGGGAGAACTAAGACATTCAGTCCTTTAAAGGGGCCTGCCTACGGCCTCATATAAGCACAGTACGTGACATTTGCTTGTAATGAAATACCGATGCATGAGTGCACATGCATGTTCATCTTCCTGATGCTTCACAGAGGTCAGTATTCAAAACGTCGCAGTTTGGAGTAAGGAGCGGTTTGTAGACCAAGAGGGCTGCAGCTCGAGAAGATGAGCGTTGCCTTCAAGTTCCTGCAAATCCATCTCAAGAGCGCCCAGAATGCACGCGCTGTCCTTTGATGTCAAGGGGAGGGAGAAGGGGTGGGGTGATAGTTAAGTGACACCTAGGCCCCCTGCCAGGATGCAGGAAGACAGTAATCTCTAGATCTCTTAGTTCCCTGGGCCACTGACCCTGGCTGCTGTATAGCAGGAGCTCCTCGCCTGAAAGCCGTGGGAGAAGTGCAGGCTGGAGTTCAGGTAGAGCCAGAGGGAGCAAGCATTTCTCTCTGGTCCATGTGTCACGGTAATAGTGGAGGTATCTTTGGCGTGGATTAAAAGACTCTTGTCACCTTGTCATCATGATATGGAAACTGGTTGCCTGGCCCTAGAACGTAGCCCATTTGGGGAGAGGGAGCCGTTTCATTAGGAAATTACCAGCTAAGACTGTTTCTTAATAATTATGCTGGTAGCCACTTTCTGAAGGATTGAATTCTGTTCGCGTGGCTGGGTCTCTGGTTAGTGAGGTCTGGATCCTGTTGGTCTTTCTGACGATTTGGGGGGCTGAGCTGCTGACCCACTTTGGTATACTGAACTTGTATGAGGCCGAATCCCTGTCCGCTCCAGTGCCTTGCCCCCAGGGCCACCTCCGAGTACGTGACACACAGGGCTTTGCCAGGATTAGAGTTCCCCTTCCACCCCCTCATCCAGCAGGGCTTCTGCTCTTCCCTGGAACTGGGAACCGAAACCCAGTGGTGCTGAGTGTGGGTTGGACTTGGCAAAACCAACGACCGTGTGTGGCTAATGCACAGGCACAGTCTCCAAGTGGCTTTGTGAGACGGGTCATTTGTGTGGCATCGGTCGTTCCGTTGTCCGTTTTTAAAAGCGAAGTTTATTGGGATAACATTGGTTAGTGACGTTGCATCGGTTGCAGGTGTCCCGCTCTGTGACACAGCGTCTGTGTGCTCTGTGCTGTGCTCACCTCTGCAGTCTAGTCTCCCGCTGCCACCCTGTGTTCGACCCCTGTGCCCCCTTTGTCCTCCCTCAGCTCCCTTCCCCTCTGGTGACCCCCCTTCTGTGGTCTGCATCTGTGGGTTTGCTTGCTTTGTTTGTTCATTCGTAGCCTTTTGTTTTATATTTCATACAAGAGTGAAATCCTGTAGGTCAGTCATGCAGGGGTGTCCAACCCGTGGCCTGCAGGCCACATGTGGCCCGGGATGGCTATGAATACGCCCCAACCCAAAATCGTAAATTTACTTAAAAACCTTTTTTTTTTTTTTTTTTTTGCTCATCAGTTTTCATTAGTGTTTGTGTATTTAATGTTGTGGCCCAAGACAGTTCTTCTAGTGTGGCCCAGAGACGCCGAGAGGTTAGACACCCCTGTAGACTGTTTCACTTAGTATAACGCTCCGAAGATCTATTTATGTCGTCACAAACGGCAGTATTTTATCTTTTTACAGCTGAGTAGATTCCATTGTGTGTATGTACCACAGCTTCTTTATGCAGTCATCCATCGGAGGACACTTAGATTGTTTCCCTGTCTCAGCTACTGCAAATAATGCTGCAGCGAACATAGGGGTGCGTAGCTGCTTTTGAATAAGCGTTTTCAAATTCTGGGGGGCAGAGACCCAGAAGACGGACTGCTAAGCCTACGGTCGCTGTAGTCTTGATTTCCTGAGGGACCTGCACGCTGCTCCCCGTGCTGGCCACACCAACGTGCATCCCCGCCACCAATGTACCGGGGTCCCCTCCTCTCTGCATCCTCGCCAGCACTTGTTGTTTCCTGTCTGACTCGTTGTCATTTTCGTTTCTTGCAGTTTTGTGCGCTGAAAGAGTTGGCCAGATGACTAAGACATACAATGACATTGATGCTGTTACTCGGCTTCTTGAGGAGGTAAGTGTTTTGAGGGAAGGGAAGGGTCGCTTGAGGTTGACCCCTTAATCGTGGAAATGATGGGCCTTTGATAAATGTCTGCCTCTGTTGTCCCCCTGAGGGGGACATTTTCCTGCAAACTCTGTGTTGTCCGGGTGTCATCTCATTAGTTCTACGGTAGTTCTCAGAGGTGGATGCCACCACGTCCCCATGCCGCAGCGAGGGGCCCTGGATCTGAGGGTGTGGAAGGTGCCCGCAGTGGGGCGACCACTTGCTGGCCCCGGTCCCCACCTGCACTGCGTGTGGCCGTTGCTGTGGCTTCGTGTGGATTGCCATGCGTCTTGGTCTTGAGGAAGTGGTCAGTTGATGGTCAGTGGACTGTGTTTACTTTCAAAACAGGACCCGGGTCATGTTTCTTATGGGAGCTGCCTCGGTGAGGCTTTTGTGGCGTTTGAGATGGCAGTGCGGGGAGACACCTCCACAGGTGAGGTGGGCTGTGCTGTGACCCCCAGGGAGCTCTTCCCAAGGAGCCCAGCGATCCAGCCCTTTATGCAGCTGCTGGTTAAAAATAGCTCACTCCCCCCCAGGCTGGTTTCTTCAATATGTGTCAAAGTATAAAGAGTATGATGCTATTGTCTTTTAAAATAATGGAGTTACTTTGAAGAGTCCTAGTGGGGCCATTTTCCAGGTGGCTCTGTCTTGTGCCACCTTGGTTTTCTTTTAGTGACTCATCCTGGCCGAGGCCCATGTGGGTCTGTGTTTTGTATGTGCCATTCTTCTCCTTGTCCTGATAAGAATCGCAACTGAGTCACTGCCTTTCTTAGGAAGAGGCGGGTTTCCCGGTGAAAGTCTCGCTGGCACAGCCTGTGACAGTTGTGTTGAGAGGCCGTGGTTCCATTCCCTCCGACCACGACCATTTGCTTTGGTTTGCACGCCCACCCCATGCAGGTGAGGTGCTGGGGGCATTCGCACAGGATGCCAAGGCGTGGCCAGTGTGCGGCGTGGAGTTGGGAACTTACCTCTGGGCAAAGCTCGCCTCCTCTCCCCTTACGGAGAGGTGACTCCGAGGGCCCTGAGTCATGCTTCTCATCCTGAAATTGGTGAATGAGATGAGTTCTCGGCTGAGTGGGGGAGGCCTCTGCTCCCCAGCTTCAGGGGTAAAGGGGCGGAGACTCGAGTCACCATCTCTTTAAACAAAGCCTGTCTGTGAAGTGGGAGTGAGCAGAGTCACAGTGAGCTCCACATGGCCACTGTTCTTTTGGTAGCTTATTTCCAAGGGCCTGAGTTACTTATTTGTAGTCTTTTATTCCCACTGTAGTTGCATCCAGGGGTCACTCCCTAGCTGTTTTCCTGGATTCAGAAGTAAACGTCTATCAGCTGTTGGCTGGTTGTAAGAAACGGGAGCTGTTTCCTTCCTGTCATTCTCCAAGAGAGATCCAGCCAACCGGTCAGTCACCTTAGTAAAGAAAAATCAGAGACACCACCATAACTCTCGTTTAGTTTTCTCATTTCATCTATAAATATTTTTACTATAATGTCTGGCCCTCTCTGCCCCTTTTATTCCAGTGGAGAGTTTTCTTTATTTTCCTATAAGGGTTAGATTTGGGGTGTGGAGGTGAGAGCGTGGCATCAGCGGGGCAGGGAGGGGTGAGGTCGGGGGTGTAATGGGGAGGGGCAAGGGGCGTGGTCATTGAACTCCCTGCTCACTTGCTCTTCTTCCCCTTCCTGTTTCCTGTTCCTCTTGGGCTCTGGCCTCCTTGTGCCATGGGCAGCCTTCAGCATCCTTCCCCTGCTCCAGCGCGGCCTTTGCAGGCTGGTCTTCGTTATTACTGTTTTTGCTTGATTTGGTTGCAGTGGCATCTGCCTACAAACTGTGGCTAAGCCTTGGCAGATGACTGTGGTGTTGAACTCGCAGCGTGGAGGTGAGGGGGGAGGCACAGGTTTCCTCCACCCTCAAGGCTCTCTGGCTGGCCTGACGGTCCACCAGAAGCGAGGCAGATCGGCAAGAGGAAATTACCAAGTTGAATAGAGATGTGTGTATGGGAACCCTGTGTGCAGGAGAGAGTCGGAGACCCCACAAGCAGGAGAGGTTCAGAGACAGAAGGGGACCATGGGCGTATGAGACAGCCTGCGGTCAGCGCTCTGGGGGCTGCAGAGGGTCACTGCAGGGTGGGAAGGGGAGCAGATGCTCAGTAAGTAGAAGTTTGTCCTGCGTGTACACAGGTCAAGAGAGGTTACCTCTCATCGCCTCTTCCAATGGGCCAGGCCCCTAACGTAAGTTCTTCCAGGTGGTTCAGGGAGCGGCAGAAGTTGCCTTTAGCTCAAAACAGTCTGCACACAACAAAGGTGCATCTTGGGGTGACTCGTTCTGAACCCACATAGTTACATGAGGAGACCAGGAACAGTGGGAAGCGAGCCAGTGGGCATTGAGGCACCTGCTGGGTGCTCCGTCTTGGAACTTGATCCAGCAGTGGAATTGGGTGGACTTGAGTGAGCTTGGCAGAGACCACACTTCCAAAGGGAAATGGACTTTGGTGTCACCGTTTCAGCCATGTGTCAGCCATGTGTCAGCTGGCTGAAACCGCTTGGACTACCCACTGATTTTAAGTCGCCCCGGGACAGGTGGGTGTGCAGGGTCCCTCGTGCAGTTCCTTTGGGTCCTTTCCTCCAGGTACCAAGCGAGCACAGCCACTGCGTCTGAGGAGGGATACAGGGCCCTTGAGATAGGGCCCTCCTTGGCAAGCACCATCACTGGTGTGGATAACCACACGGAGATGAGCATCTCACTCGAGTGGGCAGTCTCAGGGCCCCCTTCCTCCCAAGGGCGGGTGTGCTGGGGAGGCACAAACTGTGGCAACGGGCTGGAGGTATTTGTGGCTCACTTGCTGTGACACCCAGCCAGCTTCGGGGTGAGGTGACAGAAAGTTACAGGGTTTAGCAGTGTCGAAGATGGGGGGCGGTGGGGGGGGAGCCCATCGCCTGTGCGGGAGGAAGGGCCAAGTCCCTCTCAAAGCCCGAGTCTTCCCAAGCGACGCTCTGACCCCCGGTAATTCAGGGAGCACCTCGGTTAGCAAGGGAGGGCGTGCTGCTGATGTGTGGTGTAAAGGAGTTAGACACAAAAGCAGCTGACGTGTTTTTTTCAATCATACAAGTCAGTGAATCGGAAAGCTAAAAGATTTTTTTTTTGATGGTTATCTCTGCCAGTCTGCCCCTCTGCCCTCCTCCATCTGACAGACGAGGGAACTGGGCCTGGGATGTCTCATCAGAACCCGAACTTGCATAGTTTCCAAGTAGAACAGTTCACCTGGAGCAGGTAAACGGTGGGCCAGCACCTGCAGTAAGAAATGCGTGTCAAGTGGTAACCCAGTGCTCACCAAAGGAAAAGTTGAGCTGTGACGTAGCCCTTTTATTGAGCAGAAGGCACTTTGGCGTTTCAGTTCTGTGCTGTGGAAGGTCATTTAAACTGGAGTGTCCATTGCCATCACTAACATGATTTAGTGATGGCACCTGCTGAAAGTTGCCGCCTGTCTTTGGAGGAAACTCGTCTAGAGTGAACCTGACCCTTGGTGGGCGGAAGCCATTGACCAAGAACACATATTAATAAATAGCAGATTGGAACGTAGGGCTCCTCCCCAGCTTGTTTTTCTGTTCTTAACTATGTTAACCTTAAAAAAAAAAAAAGGCTTTTTGACGTGAGAGGTAACAAGCCTTTATTTGAAATGTTAAAAATATACAGAATATCACCCTGGCTGGTGTAGCTCAGTGGATTGAACACGGGCCCACGAACCAAACAACCGCAGTTCAATTCCCAGTCAGGGCACATGCCTGGGTTTCAGGCCAGTTCCCAGCAGGGGACATAGGAGAGGCAACCATACGTTGATATTTCTCTCTCTCTCTCTCTCCTTCCCCTCTAAAGATAAATAAATAAAATCTTTTTTTAAAATACAGAACATTTATTCAGGAAGCACCGATAGAGGCAGAAGCCCTGTGTTCTGATGAGGAGGCAAAGGCAGTGGGCATTATGGGAAAGGGGGTGGGAACATTTCCTTCAGTAGGAGGAAGGTGTTTCTATTGGTGCAGAGAAGCCAACACAGTGATGTTTATTCTAAAGGATGCTTTTAATTTTCAGTCCAGTAGCCATCAGCCCAGCAGTCCTAACACCTGCTTCCTGGTTGGGCTTGCCAACAGTTCTTTGGGACACGGAGTCACCCGAGGCTCAGCCCAAAGGTTATCTACCACCTCCTGTTCCAGCATCTCAAAGGTTTGAGGCACAAGACGTGCAAGGAGTACAAGACATTTCCTCTGGGATGGGAGTTCTGCTCCATTTTAAAGTGGCTCCATTTATGTTAATTCTCTTAACAACTACGTGTTCCCATTTGTCTGCTTTTTACCCGAGTGAACAGAATAATTAGCGTAGGCTTCTAAAGTAGTTTAGTTTCCCAGAATTCTCCTCCCCTTGCCAACCCCCACCTAAAAGCGAGCCAGCTGACTCTGACCACAGTGGCAAACAGCCCCTCCGGTGGGGTCAGGAGGTCTGCGCTGGGCTTTGGCAGCTGCCCCACTGTCCCCAATGTCAGGGGACGTCTTTCTTCCCATAAAGGCAGCTGAATCCCCTAGAGGCCACTAAAAATTTTCCTCGCTCTCCTTGGCTCTGAGTGATGTCATTGGCTGCACGGAATGTTCTGCGTCTAGAAAGCATCTTCAGCTCTGAAGTTGGGTCATTTCGTGCATTATCTCTCCATTTGGAAGTTTGTTTGTTTGTTTGTTTGTTTGTTTGAGTAAAGCCTAAGTACCCTCCCATTAAGTATGTTGGAGTGACTTGAAACACGTTTGGTTCATATGAGGCAGATAGAAGGACCCCCGTAAATTCTGGCCTCATGGGTGCTTCAGAGGCTGCCTCCCTGTGCCTGCTCTTGGCTTCACTGCAGGAGCACTTTGGGATTTCCGGATTCATTCATTCATTCATTCATTCATCCGTCCAGCAGCAGGTCACGGAGTATTTCCATGGGCTGGTCTCTGGCAGTGCAATCGCCAGCCCTCAGGTCTCACCAGAGAGACCTGTTATCAGGTGATGATGCAAATGCCAGAAGCAGGTGCAGGGAAATGTTCTGGAAGCAGGTTTTTCCTGTGGTTCTCATCAGATGTTCAGGTTTCCTTTCCTTGCTTGAGGTCGGCATAGCTCCCACACCTCGTGTGGGCAGAGCGCACACGCCTCTTTGAATGGGTGTCCCGTGCGGGTGAATGGGTGGCGCTCACTCGTCCCTTTCCGACTCCGTCTGCCTCCACGGGCTCGGAGCTCTGTCGGCTCCTCAGGAAGCCCGGGTACTTTTTTCTTCAGTCTACTCTCCCCCTGCCTTCCACAGAAAGAGCGGGATTTAGAACTGGCTGCTCGGATCGGCCAGTCGTTGTTGAAGAAGAACAAGACCCTCACTGAGAGGAACGAGCTTCTGGAGGAACAGGTGGAGCACATCCGGGAGGAGGTGAGGAGCTGCGCGGAGGGCGCCACAGGCGTGGTCAGGGGTGCTGGACCGGGTCCCTTTCGGAAAGGCCCTCTGCAGGGCTCGTCCCTCCCTCGTCCAGGGCCGCCTGTTCTGGAGTGGCCACCTGGACGCAACACATGGCCTTCCTGCAGCTCCCGTTCACTGTGTCTCCTCTTCACAATGGGGATGGGACCACCTCAGAGGGAACAGGCCCCACTGAGTTGGTGGGTGCTCAGTACCCAGTCCCATGAGGCTTGGGCGTGTTGGCCCAGCTGCCCTCCTCCAAGAGTGCAGACATCACATGGGCTCAGAAGGATGCTCAGGGCTTGGCAAAAGTGCAGGCTGGCCGATGCAACAACGAGCAGGGGTCCCCGAGTCGGGTGGGCGGGAGCCCTGCAAGGTGCAGCAGTCACAGGGAGGAACCGTGAGGTTTCCCAGGTGTGAGTGGGGGCTGTCAACCCAGAGCTGGCCCACCCAGAGCCGGTTCCAGGTGGGCCTTGGTTCTGGCAGAAACTAATGGCCTCATCTTGCATTTGGTAACATGATCCACTTCTCTGGTCATTTGACCAGCTACTCGCAAAGCCCATATGCTATCTTATGCCCCCAAACACCATTCTAGAGCTTTCTAGTCCCCTCTCACTTCTTCCCTGTACCAAAGTAAAAATTACAAATTTAGGTGGAGGCATTTTTGCCAAAAAAGTAACTCATTGTATTTTTCTCAAATGGAATGATGCTCAACGACGTGTTTTCTCTGAATAAACCCAAATCAATTATAGGCCTAAACTTCAAATGAGGAATTTTTAAAATGTTGTCACTGAGCAGTAAGTGTCTGAGCACCAGTGGGGACGTGGTCACGTGTGGGGCATGAGTGACAGTCCCCTGGCTCTGTCTGTGCAGGTGTCCCAGCTCCGGCATGAGCTGTCCATGAAGGATGAGCTGCTTCAGTTCTACACCAGCGCTGCGGAGGAGAGCGAGCCCGAGTCCCTGTGCTCTACCCCGTGAGTCCCCAGGGGGTGTGTGTTTGGGGGTGGGGGGGCCGGGCGCAGGCTGGCTGCCGTCCCTGCCCACGGAGTTGCCTGGGCAGGGTCGGTCACCTTTCCAAGCGGCGCAGGCCCGCTGCTCCCGGCCCCCCAGTGCCTCGCACAGAGTGAGTTCAATGTTTTACTGGGACGTGGAAGGACAAGCTTTGCATTTTCCTCTTAGGGGATCTTCTTGCTCATTTGTGAGTTTAGACTGATTTGGCCTGGCCTGTCAGTGGGTCACAGGGTGGGCTCTGCTGGTGGAAGAACCACAGGGTCCTGGAGCCTGAGGCACTGTGGCGGGGCCTTGGGGACAGGAGGTGTTGGCGCTTCTCTGACAGTCAGCAGAGCCTCATGTTAGCGCCATGAACTCCAGAGCCTGATGGCCTGAGTTCAGTTCTCGACTCTGTGGCTTACCACCTGTGTGCTCTTGGCCAAGTTACTTAACCTCTCTGTGCTCATTTCCTCATTTGCAAAATGGGGATAATAACAGCACTTAGTTAAATCAGCTAATACATGTATGGGGGGGGCCTGGAATTTATTTATAAATTATTGTGTATTTACTCTTACATCTTTAAACTTCAGTCACCTTCAAAGCCTCTCCATTTGATGTCATACACCTATCGAGACTTTTTTTCCACTGTTCATAATGGTTTTTTGGACACGTCGAGTTGGATGGCTTTCAGTGTTTCTGCCATCTTTTGTTTCACCTCTTCCGCGTCAGCAAAACGTTCCCCCTTAAGGTTTCTCTTCATCTGGAGAAACAAAGTCTCTTGGGGTGAGATCAGGTGAATAGGCAGGGCAGGGGGTCGTGCTGTTTATGGTCAAAAACTGCTGAACACTCAGCACGGTGTGGGCAGGTGGGCTTGTAAATCACCCATCACGAAATGGGCAGATGCGTGGAAAGACCGTTCAAAAAAAATTCATCAAAGCCAAGCACGGCCTCTCAAACAGCGCCAGCTGGTGCACTGACACGGACGGTCCCTAGAACACTCACCTGGCGGGGGAAACCCGTGCTGCGAGGGGCCCGCCCTCCAGAGGGTCGTTCTGGTTATTTTTGGTTCCCCCCGCCTGGTATTTCAATACATTAAATGAGTTGATGCATGTGTTTAAAATAGTTGTTGGCACATGGAAGCACATTGTAAAATTAAACTCCCAGACATTCCAGAGTCGTGTAGGCTCCAAACAGGGCTGATTCCCCTGCAGCCTGAGGCGCTGTGGCAACTGCAAACTGCGGGCGAGGGCTGGGACCTGAGTCTGAAGTGGGAGCGAGCCCGCGGGTTGCCCTGGGGGTGAGGGCAACCCAGTGTGGAGGGTCCTCGTCTCGCCTGCGGGGTTCAGGGCTCTCCTGCAGACGTCCTTCCTGCCTCCCGAGCTGCACCAGGGTGGGGGATGGGGCTCTCTCTAGAAAGCCACTGGACTCTCCCCACAGGTTGAAGAGGAACGAGTCATCCTCCTCTGTCCAGAACTACTTTCATCTGGATTCTCTTCACAAGAAGCTGAAGGACCTTGAGGAAGAGAACGTCGTACTTCGATCCGAGGTGACGTCCGCACTCTGCCCTCGCCCCTTCCGGGAGGGTGGCGGCCCCTTTCGCCTTCTCTGGTGAGAATAGTCGTGGCTACACCGCCATTCTCAAAGGGACCGCCTGACAGAACCGCCCGAACCTGGGCTTGCTGCTGCCCTGCGGCCTCATTTACCTGTGGGTGCCCTGGCTGGGGCGGGCAGGGGGTGAGCCATGCAGCGTGGGGACGGCCAAGGGTGGCCACCCAGCCCCTTCCCAGTGAGGACAAAAGCCTGTGCCGTGGGCCCTTCCCATGGGGTTCTCCAGCTCCGACTGACCCGACTCGGAGGCCTGGTGAGAAGGCCTCATGTCCCTGTCACTGCGGGTGACAGGAAATAGTACCCGAGGAAACAGGACCCATGCACTCGGAGGCACTTCTTAGACAGTGAGCGAGGCCGGGCGCAGGCAACCTGAGAACTCGGGCTTTGGCGTCTCTCTGATTGGCCGGTGTCTGTGCTAGGTAGTTGGCCTGCATCATTTTTAAAAATCTTCACAAGGCTGGGAGCTTGGCGACTTGGAATCTCATTTCCAGTGGGAAAACCAGACTGGGTGGCTGGGTGTTTGCATTTCCCAAGGACGAGCGTGTCTGTGAATGACACAGCCAGTATGTGCAAGTCTCTGGGACTCCGGAGGCCGTGTCATTGCTCCTCACCCACTGTCCCTCTCTAGAAACACCCGTGCACGCACCTGCAGTACATTTTAAAGTCTTCGGTGTCAGTGCGTTGGTGCGTTCCAGCCGGAGGAGGTGTGGGGCAGCCCTGCCTCTCGGGCCCTCATTTGTCGAGTGTGGGCTGATTCCCACCTTGAACTTGCACACACATTGGAAGGAACCTCACGCCTGGGCTTCCCAGGACACCGTTAGGCACAAGGAAAGGATCATGCTCCCTTGGACCTCACTGACCTCTGCCAGCCCCTTGCTGACCGATGGGTTTTTTGAACTTTCTCTGCCAGCCGGTGGCCAAGGCAAGATGACAACCCAGGTCTCCCCATTCTGAGTCTGGCGCTGCTCCTCCCAGCGTCTGCCCCAGGTTCCTGCTCTGGTCCTGGGCACACAGCCAGTGCCCCTCCTTCAAAGTCTTCCCCGAAAGCAAGCTGGGGAATCTGATCCCAGCAGGGGCTGGCTGCTGCACCTCGGCTTTCAGGAGGGTAATGTCTCCCTTAGGTTGGGACCTGAGGGCTCAGACACACCTGTCTAACTGCGCCCTGTGAGCTCTATCTTCCCGCCTTTTTAACCAAGAATAAGCTCTACAGAGTCCTGGGATAGCCCTTGGGTCTCTGAATTTTAATGCTTTCATGTTGCACTTTGCTTTTGCTCTGCCGGTTGCAACAGGTTTAACTTAACCTAACTTAGCTTCATAGGACAGTGTCCGGCACATAGTAGGTGAATATGTTAGCCATTCTCGTTGTGGTTATTTTTAGAATAACCATGGTAGGCATAACTGGGTCCTAGGCACTGTTTGGGTCACAGAGGGGTTCAGGCTGTGAACCCCCAGGGCAGACACAAATGAATAGAGAGACAGAAGACAGATTGGACAGAAGGCAAGCTAAGCAGGTGCATAGCTCCAGCATTCATGGCTTTGTGTGGCGCCCTCTAGTGGTCCATTTTCCAGCTTTGAGATACTGAGATTCACTCACTAGGCAGGGAATTCAGGTTGACTTTCTGTATTTGAGGGTGCACAGGGTGACAGGACCACACGAGTCCAGGTGTGACTATGGGGCCTCTGACCTTGGCCTTGTCCACAGGCCTGCCAGCTGAAGACGGAGACCATCACCTACGAAGAGAAGGAGCAGCAGCTGGTCAACGACTGCGTGAAGGAGCTGAGTATGTCCCCAGCCCTCGCCCCTTCCTGTCCCCTCTCTTTCCTTGTGCATCTGCCATCATGAAGACCATATCTGCATCCCCAACAAAGTGCCGTCTCCTTGATCTTGTGGGCACCCCTCGCCCCGATCTGTGAGAATTTGGGGGCTAGGCTTTCGGTCATACGTTGGTCAGTTTCTTGCTGAGATGGGTATTTAATTTTTGCTCTGTGGAAGCGGTGGTGAGAGGTCTTCTTCCCTCCCCACCATAAGTTGACAGGTTAAGATCAGACAAAGAGGTGCACAGAGTATTTTGAGTTTCAGCAAAATCCTAGTCAATGAAACGCACCCTGTGTTCCGATGATCTAGTGCAGTGAGTCGTGGCTCTGAAGACGGGTCGAAAACGCCCAGGGGAATGGTTCCGTGCACGGCGGTGTTTTGTTTAGGGCCGGCTCTGCAGGTTCCTGTTGAGGATGGGGATTTGTTCGTGGGTGGGGAACAGATTTGGGCCAGAGGCACCTTCATGCTGGCGTGGCACCTCCCAGCTGTCTCCTGAAGGCTGCCCGCTTTTCTCTGTGGAGGCAGCCTTGTCCAGTGGGGCGGGGCCTCCCGCTGAGCCGCCCCACCCCCACCCAGAGCCACAGCAGGGGGCCAGGTTCCTTCTCAGGACAGTCGGAGCCAGAGGATGCTGTTCTGCTTGGCTTCACCATAGAGACACGTCTGCTCTAAGTTCCTTCTTTTTATGTCCTCTCCACCCACCCTCCAGCCCTACCCTCATCTTGTAATAGAGATGCTCTTCCTGGTACAGAGCATCAAGAAACCATTCTCCCTGGGTCTACATGTGGGGCTTTGGGACTGAACCTTATGGTTGTTGTTTCCTGGTCAAAGGGGACGCCAACGTGCAGATTGCTAGCATCTCCGAGGAACTGGCCAAGAAGACCGAAGATGCTGCCCGCCAGCAAGAGGAAATCACACACCTGCTCTCTCAAATAGTGGATCTGCAAAAGAAGGCAAAAGCTGTAAGGCCCTTGCTTCCTTGGCCAATACGAGAGGGGCCCTTCGGAGGTCAAAAAGGGGCAGAAGATGTGCCCTTCAGGTTCATGTCTCAGGAGTGGCTGCCCCTTTGCAAAACAAAGCTTAGCAGAGGCAGTGACGTGCTGTTTATTTGCCACCACCTGTCTCCTGAGAACACTCTTCAAAATAATTGAATTCACCGAGAAAGGTCCCATGGATCCCGAGTTTTGGAATTTAACTTATGAATCATCTAGTTCAGTACCTGTTTTTATACCCCATGCTGGTTGTGTTCTGCCACAGAACAGAATCCCCTCTGGATTCCAGGGGAAGCAGCCAAAACCCATCTGGTTTTCTGTGTTAGACCTTCGCTCGAAGTGGGGGTGAAATGCTTCCGGAGAGCGGCTGTGACCCTGGGGGTGGGGGTGGGGCAGGCCCTGGAGAATGAATGTGGGTGTGGGAACGGCTGCCTTCAAAATTCTATAAAGGGGGAGAGTTTCCTCCACTATAAGAGTCATTGTAGAAGTACTGTAGGACCCTAACAGGTCAGGTCATTCTCGGGGAAAGTTAGACTTTTCCAAGTCTCTCGAAAGAGCAGCTGACTTCCCCGTGCCCCGTTGCAGTGTGCAGTGGAAAATGAAGAACTCGTCCAGCACCTGGGGGCTGCCAAGGATGCCCAGCGGCAGCTCACAGCCGAGGTAAGGGGCTCCCCCTCATTTCACTGGGGCCCCCGATGCTGGCTGGGAGGCATCAGCCTCTGGGCTGTGGGGCGTGTTCCCCTCAGCAACCATTTTTATGGTGAACTGAGTGCCGTTTTTACTCCAAAGCTGATTCTGACTGGTGCCTTCACTGGTTGTGAGTGGCCAGAAGCCTGGGCTCTCCACCAGCCCAGGTGTGCTCATGGGCTCTCCAGAAACAGTCCAGGGAGAGGTGACACAGAGCATGCCCAGTGAAGGGAGCCCATTCAAAGGCACCCTGGAAACGAGGGCATTGTGATTTGCTCTCCCACTGGGGGGAAGATGTTTTTCATCTCGGTTGCCCCTGGTTAGTGGTTTAGGAGATTTCTGGGTCTGCAAGGGGTGCTCCATGAGAGAGAATAACTGAACCTCGAGGACCCTCAGGTGGTTGGCTTCAGGCACGGGGAGCCGGGTTGGAGGGCACGTCCCCAGCGCTCACGAGGTGTCTCCCTGGCCCCCTGCAGCTGCGCGAGCTGGAGGACAAGTACGCCGAGTGCATGGAGATGCTGCACGAGGCGCAGGAGGAGCTCAAGAACCTGCGGAACAAGGCCATGCCCAACACCACGTCGCGGCGCTACCACTCACTGGGCCTGTTTCCCATGGTGCGTGCGGCTGCGTCCTGATGGCCCTGTTCGCCCCAGAGGGAGGCGGGGCTGCTGGTGGTACCCGGCTGGGGTGGGGGCAGCCTGTCCTTGTGCGGCTTGGATCTGGGTTCGAGCTGAGAGCTCCTGAGCCCAGCTGGTGAGACAGATGGTCCTTTCTTTTCCATTTCTCCGCATCTGCCATCCTTTGTCCTCCCCGCTTGGAAGAAATGTAGCAGGAACTGGGTTCCGCAGGAACGTCGGATATTGGGAAGATGTCACTTGCCCATTACTTTTTCCTCCTGTGATCTCGTGGGAGCATTCTGGAATTCCTAAATTGCCCGAGTGGTTCTGCGGGCTCTTGGTCAGCTTATCGATCGTTGTCCTGGTGGCTTTCGGTATCTGTGACCTGAAAAAACGTTTCTCTCTGGGCTAGGTGTGGCATTTTTGGTTTTTTCATGTGGTTTCCCCCAGAGGCTTAGTGTTTAACCTGGGCCCGACCTGTTTCCTGTTTGGACTTCCCGGCGGAGGAGGGGGTTTTCCAGCAGGTCAACTCTCCCCCTGGTTTTGGGCTCTTGCCCTGGCCGGTCAGGTCCCCGTCGCACTTTACGAGCTGACTGGTTGTACCTCCTGTCAGACCAAAGCCCTGGGAGGTCAGCACCCTGTCTGCTTGCGTTTCCCTCCTTCTGCAGCCCTGCACGCAGAACTGTAGATGCTTAACGGATACTAGATTTGGATGGTGGATGGACAGACTGAAGAACAGACTACCCAGGACTTTTATTTTGGGGCTCCGTTTCCATGATTTGGTAAAATACCAGATTCTCGGAGGAGAGAACTCTTGAGAGAGACTCCCCTGGGCGAGGTGGGAGTGGGTGGCTCTGGGAATGTTTACACAGTCTCTTCTGAAGGGAGCTGGGAAGGAACCCGGCACCTTCCGAATTTGGCTTTTCCTGGCTCTTTCCCTTCACCCCACCCCTTGTTGTCTGGCCCACTCTTCCTAAATTGTGGCCTCTCTTTCCTTGTTGCTTTCATCCATCCAAGTCAGGCTAGAGCTCTCTCTTTTTCTCTCAACTTGGCTGAGATCTAATGACACTGAAATAAAGGCACGGACCATAAACAGTCAGTTGCCCAAGGAGCAGGCTGGTGACCCAGTGGTTCCCGGAATCCCAGTAAGGAACACTCTGTTCCCTGCCTTGGCCCGTGTGGCTCAGCTGGTTGGAGCATCGTCTCGGAACCAAAAGGTTGCAGGTTCAATTCACAGTCAGGGCACATGCCTAGGTTGTGGGTCGCAGCCTTGCTGTGGGCGTGTGGGAACCCCTGTCCAGATGCGTACGAACCCCGGTCTGGGCGCCGGTCCCCCGTCCAGGCGTACATGGGAGGCAGCCAGTCCACGCTTCTCTCTTGCATCAGTGTGCCTCCTTCTCCCTTCCTCTTTCCCTTCCCCTCTCTCTAAAAGCAATGAAATGTCCTCAGGTGAGGATAAAAAAAACAAAACAAAAGAACACTCTGTCCCCCTGATCCCTCCATATAAAGCTGACCACACTTGACTCCCAGACTGGCCTGTGCAGCTTCGCACAATTCTTGCCTCGGTTTCCCTCCTTCCTGGCTTCTCATCTGGGTGCGGTGGTCTCCCAGGCCCCCTGCAACTAGGATCACTGCATCGCATGTCCCACTCTCCCAGGACAGACCTGTATTTTTCTAATTTGAACCATCCCGTAAGAAAAGTGGCATTGAAAATCTGCCGTTGGGTTTCTTCTGAAGAGATCTCAGCTTTCATGTTTGCCGAGATTAAGGTTTTGTTTGCCTTTTCCTGTAGCTGTTGGCACAGCTCTGTTTTTGGAAATGTCTCCTTTTAAAGTACATGATGCATGAAAAGGTATTTAAATCAATTAAAGTTAAACACAGTCAAGAGTTCAGTTCCTCAGTCACGCTAGCTGCCCCCCCCCCCCCATCGCCCCGTTGGATATAAAGAGAACATTCCCGTCATCACAGCAAGTTCTGCTGGTTAGCACGGCTTTGGCTCTGCCCTCCAGGTCGTCCCACATGGGCGCACCCCTCTGAGGCCTTGGCAGGCGCTCCTTCACACACACCTGGTGCTGTTGGCATCTACCTGTACTTGTGTGTGGGGTTGTGTGTCAGGCTCCACCTCATACAACAGGAAGCAGCGCCGGTGGTTCTGTACCCCGGGCGAGCTGAGCAGTTAGCAGACCTTGCAGATGGGGTGGACAGTAGCTTGGTGCGGCCCCTGTGGGCATGACATTATCCCTCACTGCTCATACGCTTTGTAACCTGTGGATATCGGCCCATCAGTGCCATTCTGGCTCCTCTCTCCCTGTGTAAGTTCTCCACCTTCTCTGGGGCCACAGTTGCAGCTCCATGGTTTGGCCAAGAGAACGTGGGATTTGCCTTCAGACCCTTAGCCATGCGGAAGCGAAGTGAAAGGGCCTTTCCATGCAGTGCTGTCGAGACCTGCTATGTCCGGTGCCTGCTGCATTCAGAACCTGCCCTGGGGATTGCTTTTCCGGGGTCTCTGACAGGGGCAAATCTTCTGTTGTGGGAAGTCCTCGGGCTTTGAGGCCTCAGGCGACCGCACTACGGCTCTCCTGGGCACGTGCCTCTCTTGGAGACGGTGTTTGAGTTGCTGCTCACTTGAGTATCTTCTCCTCACTCTCTCCAGGACTCCTTGGCAGCCGAGATCGAGGGGACGATGCGGAAGGAGCTGCAGCTGGAAGACCCCGAGTCACCGGACATCGCGTACGGCCTTACTCCCGAGCCCCCCAGAGAAACTGCGTGATGACCTGGGGGGTCCGAATGCGCCCTGGTCTGGGCCTCCGGCTCCAACAGTGATCGCTGAGGCCCCTCCACAGATTAGGGGGATAAGAGAACCCGGCGGACAGCCCCCCTGAGCGCCCCCTCTTAGGTTCCAAAGACACATTGTGAACTTCCAGAAAGTTGGGAGGGGAGAGATGTGTTTCCCGTTTTTCTTAACACAGGCTCCACCTTACACACCTCCATTTGTTTATATCTTTCCTCTCAGAGAAAAACATTATTTGAAAAAATTTTAACTCCTTTGAGGAAAGGGAAAAATAGGCTTCCGTTTCCCTTCTGCATCCATTTAGGAATGCTGGCCTCTGCGTCTGTCCTTGTGCCTGGCCCGCCCTGAGGTGTTTACGAGGAGCCCGTGGGTCTCTTTTCATTGTGCTTTCTCTGTCCCGAAGCCCCCTAGAAGGAGCCGAAGAGGGGCCCTGGGAGTGAGCGGTGTCCCTGCGCCTTGGTGCAGGTGTGAGGCCTAGAAAGAAGCGTCCACTGTAGAAACGTGACTTGTCCTCCTTCAAAGGGAACAAATGGGCATCAAAACATGCAGTTCTGCCCTTAGGAAAAACAGTCCCTAAAACCAGGTTCGTCTGGTGTTTATCATCGCAGAAGGTGAAGGCAAACTTTGTCTTGCTTTTTTGCTACACGGTCACGAGTTCAGTAACGACCCTTCGCTCAGTGATGGACCACGTATGTGACGGTGGCCCATAAATTATGATGGAGCTGAGAATTCCTGCCGCCCAGTGACACCATAGCTGCCATCCTGTCATAACAGCGCGTTGTTTGTGGCGATGCTGGTGTAAACAGACCTCCTGTGCCGCCAGTCATGTGAAAGCGTGTCACGTACAATTACGGCATGTAATACTTGATAACAGACGACTTGGCACCTGGTATGTGTATTTGTTACACTCGTATTATTTTTCAGAGCGTACTTTTTCTGTTTAGAAAAGTTTGCTGTAACACAGGATGACATGCTATGCCTGCAGCAGCTTCCCAAGCCCCCGGTTTCCCGCACCTCCTGGTGGCATTTTTTCCTTGTGTTGATCTGACCTTGTGTTGTTTTGTGCACTAGTGCGCTGTCCAGGTTTGTAGCCGGGGGCCGGGGGCCCTATCATCTGGGTGTGTGCACGTGCACTCTCTCTGCGGTGTTCACACGATGACAAAGTTGCGTAACGATGCATTTCTCTAAATGCATCCCTGTCGTTAAGCAGCCCGTGACCGTGTATGAATCACGCGCTGAGCAGGGAATGCTGCCCTCCTGGCGTTTGCATTCTAGTGGCCGTCGTGAGAAAGCGAACTGCCTGGGAGACGGAGAGTACTGAGCATTTGCATTTGTAGGTGAAGCCGCAGGGAGGTGGGAAGGTGTTTTACTCCTGCTGCCATCCCTTTAGGACGCAAGCACATCTCAGAGCCCTGAATTCAGTGGGTAGTGAGTCTCTCGAATTCCAGCCAGCGCCCTACGAAACACATGGAAGGCACAGGATGGCAGGTGGCTTGGGCGCTCACCTGGGCCAGCTACCTTTTTGGCTTCTCAGTTGATAGTTTTCTGGAGGATTTAACTCCAACATTATTCCTACACTTGCTTCTTCATGGATGATGTTGTGTATTCTCCCCAGCCACCAGAAGCGAGTCTTTGAGACTGTGAGAAACATCAACCAGGTCGTCAAGCAGAGGTCTCTGACGCCGTCCCCCATGAACATCCCCGGCTCCAACCAGTCCTCCGCCATGAACTCGCTCCTGTCCAGCTGCGTCAGTACCCCCCGGTCCAGCTTCTATGGCAGCGACGTCGGCAATGTCGTCCTGGACAACAAGACCAACAGCATCATCCTGGAAGCAGAGTCGGCCAACATGGGGTGAGCCGGCTGAGTTCTTACCTGTTTTGGAGAGAGGTGGTGTGCATTAGGCACAGGCTCAGTAATCAGAGAGAAAGAGAGACTGATAAGAATCGCCGGAAAAATACAGACCCGTCAGTTCTCAAATGTGTCTTACACCTCCCACCCCCCGCCGCTGAGTCCACGCTTGTCCTGGACCCTGATATTTTAACCAGTCTGAGGGGGACCACAGGATGCAGCAGGAAGTCTGCTTTTCTGTGAAGTGCCAACGGAGTGGATAAGTGACTATTTGACTCTGTTCATCTTCACTGTGAGGGCTAAAGCGTAGACATTTGTTTTATGAAACCCTGTTGTGGCTGGGGTGTTTGAAAGGTCGAGGAGGACTCAGGCTCTGTCTCGTGACCGGGTTCCGGTGTGGCTCAGAAGGCGGGGTGCAGGGCGCCCCACAGGTGCCCGCCACACTGAGCGTCCCTGTGGCAGGCCTTCCAAGCAGCAGTCAGTCCCTCTCTGACCAGAAGCCCCCCAAACACACCCCAGCATTGTCTGCTCTGTGCACGGCACTCCCGTGTGTTAATAACGTTGGCTTTTCTGACCGGCTGTCTCCGGCTGCTGGGAAACCGCATGAGTAGAACAGGTTTGAGCTTTCGGCTCCTTAAATTCAAGAGGAAAGAGAAGCACCCCTTGAGCCTGCTGCCCTTCTGGGAACCAGGAACTGCAGCCAAAGAAAGCTCCTTCCTAAGGGGGTTGTTTATAGGGACTGGGTTTTACATTCTGTGTGCAAATTTTCATTCCGCTTCAGTGTGCTTTTCCCTCTCTCCCCTCCCCCTGCCAAAAAAAAGCAACAGAAGGAATCAGTTCTTCAGGACAGGCCTTTGTTTCCCCATTTTTGCCTGCATTTCAACAGCTTGCTTTGGTTTTCTTAGAAAATCCTGCAGGCACCCTGGCCCGTTCAGCATTGAGGCCTCCTTGTGTGTTGTACAGTGTCCCCTGCTGGGTGTCCTACGTTCACCCTGTCTCCTCTCTTCCCAGAAACAACGAGCAGAGTAAGAAGCCGGGGACACCAGGCACCCCGGGCTCCCACGACCTAGAGACAGCGCTGAGGCGGCTGTCCCTCCGCCGGGAAAACTACCTGTCGGAGAGGAAGTTCTTCGAGGAGGAGCAGGAGAGGAAGCTCAGGGAGCTGGCAGAGAAGGGCGAGCTGCTCAGCGGGGGCTCCCTCACGCCCACCGAGAGCATCATGTCCCTGGGCACGCATTCCCGCTTCTCCGAGTTCACCGGCTTCTCGGGCATGTCCTTCAGCAGCCGCTCCTACCTGCCCGAAAAACTCCAGATTGTGAAGCCGCTGGAAGGTGATCACCTGGGCCCTCGGCCCCTCTCTGCCCTCCTCGGGGACTCCCTCTGGTCTCTGATCCACCACCAGCCAGCCGGGAGCCTCTGTCACACCTACTCCTTCTTCTTCAAGGATAGCCACCCTCGCTGCTGGTTTGAGTTCCTCTGAGGGGCCCCCACCCAGGCCCCCAGCACCCTGTGCAGGTTTGCAGACGCACACACGGGCACCCAGACTAACCTGGGCCGGGAAGCCAAAGAGCAGAACACCGTGACGTTGCCTTTCTAGCTCTCTCTCTCTTTTGCGTAGATCCTTAGAAATATAGATCTTTTAGCCAGAGGTGTTGCTCATGTGCTCAGAAGTTCCTTAGGTCCGACCCCAGGGGCCTGAGCAGGATAGAGAATGCAGGCTTTGACTCCTGGGAAATTTTGGTGCCAGGAAGGGAGGGGTGCAAAGCAAACACTCTTTTAAGTTTTCTCAGTAACCACGTGAAAGCAGTTTGTCTTTGCCATTTGTCAGCTCACATGTTCTGCTTCTATCTTCAAATAAACAGGGTGGCTTTCTTCCCAGGCAGTGTTCTGAGCCAGGCTCCCAGAATCCCACTCTTCGGGGAGCGTGGGCAGCTGGGGAGGCCAGTGGGTCCTGTGCCTCCTTCACCCCTCATTTTCCAGGGGCAGTTACCTTTTTACTCCCAGGAACACCCCAGATGAGTGAACTCATGGGAAAACGCACCCCTTTTTCTTTCTCTTTCTTTTATTCATTATAAAAATGTTTGTCTGCCCTTTACCTTCCACTTCCCAGCCCCACGTTTGTTATTTTCAGTTTCTCCTCCTTTAGTTTGGAAACCCCTGTGTGTTTGAGGAAGGTGTTCTAGAATTCTGTATCACCGTTCTGATGAGAAGCCAAAGCAAAATTTCTGTGAGGCAGTATTTTTCAACTTTAAAAAAAACTGTGTCCCCTCGAAGGAGTGGTCTTAGATACTTATTCCCCCAACAATGTAACACCACAGGTACACTGTTCATGAGCTCCAGGTGTACCTGTGCCTAAAGAGTCGGTTCTTCTCACCCCAGAAGAACCCGTTTTCAGCCCCTTGGGGGCATTGCCCCCTGTTGAGAACTCCCTTTCTAACATGAGGTGGTGCTTGTCCAAGACCCAAGACAAGCTGGGTTCCATATTCTTCAAAGGAGAGAAGAGGGTGGGGTATGTTCTTTTGGGCGTTTTTTTCATGATTGTTTTTGAATTGTATAATTTTGGTTCTTAGATTTCAGAAAAGGGATGGCACATTTTTTTCTTCATGTTTATTCAGTTGTACGTTTGGTGATTGTTTTCTGATCCATGATTATGTCTGGTTTTCTTTCAATAAAATCTTCCATTTCTGCAATTTTACTTTCTGCCTTTCTTTCCTTTTTTCTCTTTTTGGCTCTCAGAGATCATTACAATTTATCATCTCTATCTTGTCTACTTTCTGTATTTGACCTTGTGTTTCATTCACTCATCTAAGGATAAGCTTTTGGATCCATTTCCCAAGCATTAGTGCAGGAAGAGATTTTTTTTTTAATTTGTTTTGACCAATGCATCTTTTTTTTCTTTTAATCTTGTGACTTAGGTAGCAGTATTTTTGTGATAAGCTAATGGACGAAGAGGAAATCCCGTTAGATTTGCTAGATAAATTTCTTCAATAGTGCCCAGCTCAGAAAGCTAAGTCACGACCATTAAGAAATCATCTCTTATCACTACAGCCTGTATCTCACCCTCAGAGAGGTCCCTCGGGCTCCATTTTGTAGTTCTTAGACTTTTTAGTTGTTTAAAACACAACCAATCTTTTATTTCTTCCTTCCCTCCACAATTATTTTTTGTGTCACTACGTTTAATTTGACAAGGTGTCCTGCTGGCATGGAAACCTGCCCAACAGCCAGTTCAGAGCCGCTCTGACTGTGACATTGGATAAGTCACCTCACCTTCTCGAGCCCTCGTTCCCTTATTTGTGATGAAGAGTAAATGTGATGTGTTTGTATTATGCCTGGCACCTAATTAAAACTTAGGCTCCCCAAACGTGACCCTGTTCCAGCAGCTCAGGCCTAAAGACGGCCTCGGCAGTGTTGAGACGAGGACCAGCCTGTGCTGGGGCCGCGTTCTTACATCATCTCTTTTCATTGGCCCACTGAGAAAGCCAATAGGATTCCTGTGATCTCCAGTGACCCAGGTAAATGTACCAGAGGTGAGGCCCCCAGAGAATGTTGGCTGGGATCGCAGCAGATAGCCAGTCTGTGTCTTCCATCGGCGACTCCCTTATCTCTTCGATTAATCGTGCTACCTGCTTATGGCAGTCAGCCAAAACAGCGGGGCTGGGTGTTTAAAAATGCGAGCACTCGTGTTTCAGGCAGGCAAAGAACAAACACGGCATTCGGACTGGACGCGAGATGTGTGCATTAAAAAGATAGTTGGGCAGTATTTTTCCCAAGTCTCGCTCTTCCTTTCTGATGTGTTATAACCAAGGTAGTGTTTCCAAGTTAAGGAGGTAACGTGTAAATAGGGAAAAGCATACACTGCTAAGCTGTCACTACCCAGCAGGTTTAGTTCTAACTTGTGGGCTCCCCCTTTGAGGACATGAATACTTTTGGGGTAGAACAGTGGGGTGTGGCAGGAAGGCCAACAGAGGGACGGGGCTGTAACCGTGTGTTTTCTGTGCAGTCCACACCCTTGTTTCTTAGGATTTCATTTTGGAGCCAACTACAAGCACAGAGGTTGCTCTCTTCCCCGGCGCTGTGGCTTGACCACAGCCTCATTCTCGTGGGGGTGGGAGCAGGTGGTGGTAGAGGGAGGCAGGTAATAGTGCGGTCGGTCCTCACTTACTGTCATCCGTGGGTCCTTGGACCTGCCATTCAGGTGTGTTAGTGACCTTTTCTGAGACTCACATGTGGGAGGCCTCCTCACTGCTGGTGGGCGGGTAGTCGGTGTGGTTCAGAGGAGGGACGATGGAGCCCGCCTCGGTTTGAATCGCAGCATGGCCACTTGCCAGCAGTGTGGCCTCCGGCAGGTTGCTTTACCTCTCTGTGCTCAGTTTCCTCATCTGTAAAATGGGGACAACAGGGTTATCACAACGATCGAGTCAGTTAGTAAATGCAGACCCCTTAGAAGAGTGCCTGGCACTTAGTAAGTGCTCAATAAAAGTTAGCTGTTCTTTCATGAGCACGGGAGGCCAGTGGCATGGGGTAAGACCCCAAGTCCATGCACCTTTTAGCCTGACCTTTGACTTTTACAGCCTCACTGAATTTTATGGGCTCTGGGTTGTTAGGGAGGCAAATAACCCCATGCACTTCCGTAGCCTCTTTAGCTTCCAGAGCAGGCCCTTCGTAGGCTGGCTTCTCCCTGCAGCCACGCATGGGAGAGGAGGAGATGGGGGCAGTCGGTTGAACAGAAGGATCGCGGTGCGTGGGACTCTGGTCTGGGCCCACCCTCCAGGCTCCCCGAGTTCTTTCCCAGCATGTTGTACAGACCTCGAGGTCCCCTCAGAAGCATGACGAGATGCAGCCCTTCCTTGGTGTGGCCACGTTGTGCCCGGGGATTTCTCATCTCCTTCTACGGCCCACATATGCCGTCCCAAAGAGCCACATGCCTTGGTGACAACTTCTCCCCATGTGCTGCTGTTGCCAGGAATGTGCCTGAGCCTCCAGTGACCACGTGAACAGGGGGACTATTGCAGGACACAAATGGGGGTCCCAGTTGGGGGGTGGCAACAGGAGAAATCCCATCAGCAGAAGTGTGTGTGTCTCCCGCGGGGCCTGGACACCCACCTGGAAGTTCACTGCTCACCATTTATGCTTCTCGCTTGATCTGTGTTTCCGGCTGGATCGCTGATGTCCTTGCTTGTTTCCAGGCCTGTGGATTTGGGCAGGGGCGGTGGGAGGTGGGGGCATGTAGCCAGAGATACTGAAAGAACTTGGCCTTCGCACTGAACCCTGGCTATGCCACCACTGTTTCAGGGACTCGAGAAAGTCACGTCACTTCGCCGAGCCTCGGTTCCCTCCTGTGGGAAGTGTGGGTGGCAGCACCTCCCGGGGCGGTTTTGAGTTGCTGTAACTCCTGTAAACCGGCTGCCGCGCAGCCTCAGGGCAGGGCAGCTCTTTGTAAAACGTGGCGCCCTGGCCCCTGGGCCTCAGGGTCCCGTGAACGGTCTCGGTGTGTGCGTGAAGCCCTGGCCATGTGTGAGTGCGAGGCCTACGTGTGAGACCCCTTTGGGGAGAGGGTCTGCGGCTGCCTCCAGATCCTCAAAGGACCTGAGAGCGAAGACCCACAGCCAGAGGGAGGTCAGGGTTTCTCCCTCTCGCCACTGTTGACATTGGACCTGATCGTGCTTTGTTGTGGGGGCCTTCCTGTGTGTTGGGGGTGGAGAGGGGATCCCGGGCTTTACCCGCTGGATGCCATTGGTGACCCCTCTTCCTCCACAGTCGTGACAACTAAAACTGCCTGTAGACATTACCGAATGTCCCCTGGGGGGCAAAATTACCCTCCCCCGTCAAGAACTAATGTGCTAAGTGTGTCTTACCACCTAGTGAGAGAACAGGTACGTGATGCCCTCTTCGTGAGACGCATCTGTTTCTAAATGTTATTTCTTTTCTTTTTTGCATTCAGAATCTTTGCTGTTTATATTTAATAGATTCCGGCTAAGCAGGTTGCTGTTGTACTTGTGTGCACCAAATAGGGGGGCAGGCCTCAAAGTGGGGCTCCAGGGAGGTTTTCCAAGTGTGCACTGGCAGTTTTCCTCTCTTAAGTGGACTTGACATTGCCCGTTTATGGAATTCGTCCGCGGCTCCTCGGCTGAGTGTGGCCCATGGGAGGTCCCTGTCCGGCCATGAGGAGAGGCGGCGCCCGCCCTGGGCACCCCCGAGGGTCGGAGCTTCTGACTGGTGAGCGCGGGTTCTCTTTGTCTAGGCCAAGTTCTCGGTTGGCTTCCTGACCTCACCGCCCGCCTTCCTTTCCATTCTGTTCCATCTTGATTCCCTGAGCTGTGGGCTCCTGGCATCCTTGGCTCCCATTGAGGGGGCAGCCCAATGGCCTGAGGGATTCTTGGCCACGCGACAGAGGACGCAGTCAGTAGGGCAGCAGTGACTGTCTAAGAGGCCACATGGGTGGGAAGGCCCTTGCCTTCTACTGCCTAAGACCCTGTCTCAGAGTCTGTCTTGAGTGTGGAATGTTTAAGTGTGTGGTTAACTTCATCTGGGGGTGAGGAGAGAATGCCCGGCCTCACTGGCCAAGCACCCGTAACACCAGGGCCACGGGAGGCATAGCCAGTGCTCTGAGGGGACAGTAGGCGGGGCAGACGGTGGCCCATGGCCACGTAGCAAAGGTTGGTCACTGATCCTCAGTGAATACACTTCTCAACCCCAGCTTCCTCAGCACCCCTGGTCTTGGAACACAGCTCTCTGTGAGCACCTGGGACACCCTCAAGTCCTCAGGGTCACACTCTGGCGTTCCTGCAGGTCTTGCATGGTGCCATCTGAGTCCTGGGGTCCAGTGTCACCGGGGAGACCGGCTTCTCCGCCTCAGACTTCTGTGTGGACCTACTGCGTTCTTCGGTCACACCTTGTATAGGCCAGTCCCCTGTCCCTAAACCTGGGGCGTCTCGAGTTGCAGATGCAGAATGTCTAAGTGAACAGGCCAGGGCCACGCCGGCCTCTCATCCATGTGCCAGTTCCGTCTCCTTCTGCTTGTCTCTTCCCTCGGCTCCTGGGGCGGCCGGACACCGTCCTGTTCCGCCTCTGCCGTGTCCTGCCTGTCCCCAGCGGAGTGACCTCGGCATGGAGTCAGGACATGGTGCCCCTCCGAGAACACCCCGTTCGTGCCTGTCTTACTTATTTTTTCCTCTTCTCTTTCTAAGATGACCCTGTGTTGGATTTGGGGGTTGACATCACTTGATTTAAGATGAAGCGTTTGTCCCAAACACCGTTGGCACACAGTATGGCAGGAGTTTTATGTAACATTTAAAAAATATGTTTTTGTTTCTTAAATTGGCGCCTCTTCCGGGTGTGGTGGGTATTAGCTGCAGTTGCACAGTGGAAGCGGGGGGCAGGGCAGGGCCGGCCGGGGCTCCCGAGGCGGGTGAGCAGCCGTCAGTTTCGACGTCCACCCTAACCCTCTCTCCTCCCTGTCCCCCTTGTCTGCCCTGTCTCCTGCAAGGCTCCGCCACCCTTCACCACTGGCAGCAGCTGGCCCAGCCTCACCTCGGGGGCATCCTGGACCCCCGGCCCGGTGTGGTCACCAAGGGCTTCCGGACGCTGGATGTGGACCTGGACGAAGTGTACTGCCTTAACGACTTTGAAGAAGACGACACAGGTGACCACATTTCCCTCCCAGGCCTAGCTACCTCCACGCCAGTGCAGCACCCAGAGACCTCAGGTGAGAGGTCCCCAGCACATGTGACTGTCTCAGGCGGCAGAAGTTACCCGAGCCGGCCTCAGGCTTTCCCAGAAGAGATACAGGAGCCGCCAGCGGCCACGGAGGAGGAGGAGGGGTCTGGTGAGGGCACCGAGACACGTCCTGCCAACCGGGCGCCTTTACCGGAGGCAGAGTTCTGGGCCATTCTCACTTCTGTCCCGAGCGCCACCCGTAGCGCCTCTCTGTCTGTAGCTTCCGCTCGTCTGTGTGGGTGACAGTGGAAGCACTCCCATCATGCCGTTCTGGCTTCTAACGCAGTCGGACGCCTCCTTTTGTAACCAATGGGGGCAGCTCCCCGCCCATCCTGGAGGTTCCCGGCCCAGCGGGGCTCTCGAAGTGGGAGCAGAAAAGGCTGCTAAAAAGAAGCGGATTATTGCTCCCCCCACCCCACCCCCCAGAACATCAGGTGCCCCCCTTCTGTCATGGGCCTCTCCCTGTGTCTAAGAGACAGAGTCTTGAGTCCCCTGGTGATTTCCAAACTGGGCTGAACTGAGCTGGGCAGTCTTAGGGGCAAGGATGAGTTCTGGGTCGTTCAGAAGGCGGGTGAGAGAACTCGTGACCCATAAGCTGCAGTAAAGCAGGAGAAAGCCCAGAACTCGTGGGGGGTTTAAGGCCGCACGTGATCAGCCCTCATACTTTTCTAACTTGAATGGAAGTGTGTGCGTTTCCTTTCCGGCTTGCTCGTTTGTTCAGAGTGGATATTTAAAAGTGCTTTAGCAATACTCCTTAACTACGCCAAGCCCAAGAGGATGTCAGGAAGGTGTTCCAGGGAGAGGGTGCTAGACACATCTGGAAAACAGCCCGGGCCGTCTCCCCTCCAACCCCCTCCCCCACTGTCCCAATGGGCATGAAGCCGGGACCGTGAGTTTACAGAGCCTCCCGCCTCCTGGGCGCCACTGGGTTGAAAAGCCTCGTGCTCAGGGGCCTGAGACCATGGGGGTCACGGGGTTACCAGTTGCCAGACTCCCGGAGCCCCTGACCGCATGCGCTAAGATGCAAAGGAGGCTCTTATGGGCTTGGGGAGAGACCCAGAAAAAGACAGGTTAACCAGTGTTTCTATCCTCATGATGTTCCCGAGTTCACTGTGTTTGAAAGGAAGGTGTTCATTCATCTTCACGATTCATCATTTCCATTCGTGGAGGCCCACAGCATTCCCTGTACAAGGAAGGACAGAACTACAGTTGCTGGTGGCAGGCCTCTTTTATTTTAGATTTGTTTTTAATTTATTTTTTTTAGAGAGGGGGGAAGGAAGGGAGGAGAAGAGGGAGAGAAACATCATTCTGTTGCCTCTCACACACCCCCAACCAGGGATCTAACCCACAGCCCCGGTGTGTGCCCAGACGGGGAGTTGAACCGGCAACCTTTCGGTTCGCAGGCTGGGGCCCAACCCACTGAGCCACACCAGCCAGGGCTGCTGGTGGCATCTGTCATTCCTGGCTGAGTTCAGATGCCTGTGGCCAAGGAACTTTATTTGGGACTGGCTTTTCTTTTTACTTTAACATAAACTCTAGAGGTATCCCCAAGCTAAAATGACTTGTTTAGCATATAGGCTTATTTATGGTTTATTTTATTTTAGGCAGCCATTAAGTTACCAGATTAAGCTCGCAAAGGAATTACAGTGCTTATTATTTAGCATCCTCATGTTTGAGGAAGGAAAGCCGGCGGTGTAGACACAGCCCCGTGTGTGAGCGCCGGTGCCGCGGGGAAGACGGACAGGAGCTCAGGCAAGCCCGTGTCTGCCGAGTGTCATGGCTCAAGTGGGAGGGAGCATGGCGAGTGGGATGACCCCTCCCCACAGCCCCACACGTGGACTAGAAGGTGCGTCCAGAAGTTTAGAGAAACATCCACGGGCGCATCTTCGAGAAGTGGTCCAGAAGGGATAACACTCACTGAGTCCACTGAGAACTTCTGTCTGAAGACAGAGGGAGAGAAGGGGACCAATTATAGGACCCACCTCCCAACCGCTGTCTCATTAACAAGAACATAAAGTTCTTGGGTCTTCCCTCCTCACTCAGCCCTGCAGCGAATTCACCTGTCGGAGACACACGAGTCGGAGCCATCAGGGGGCGGGTCGGAAGGGCGAGATCCAAGAGGACTATGTGGATTGCTGAAGGACACTTAGCACAGGTCCCAGGGTTTAGATGAGAGTTCTTTGGGGCTTGTTTTCTGGGTGAGGCTCGTGAGAAGCTCAAAGGAGAGACACAAACAATGGTTGGGCCCCTTGTTTGCTGTCACTGAGAATAGTGGGACCGTTCTGGTTCTTGGAATATGAGAAGCACGTCACTCTAAATGATGCCCCCTGAGGCCCCGAGTGGTGCTAGGGGAACAACCTTGGAGTCAAGGGTAGGCAGGTAAGCTTCAGCGGGAGGGCCTGGGCATCCTCAGTCCTGGCATTTGAATCCAGGCTGTTCTGGTGCCCGTCCCCCCCACCCCCGTCCAGCCTCCATGGTCGGGCTTCTCTGTTGCCAGGCAGCTCAGCCCCAGGAGCCGCCCCCCTGCCTGGGACAACTGAGGAGGGACCACTTAGGGGACAAAAGGTGACGAACCTTTTTTTTCTTGCGACTGGCTGATGGGAGGGAGTTGAGAAGACTTGCATAGTAGGCACTTTTGCCTGGAGCCTGCTATCCCACGGAGAAAAAGTTTTGAGCGTACTGAAAAAAAATATATTAGTATATTTTAATGTTTTATTATTGTGTCATGATTTGCCAGTTTTTATGATCCCATGTCTTAAAAACGATGACTCCTTGTTTTCATATTTGTAAATAGATTATTAAAATGGATGGTTGAAAACAATTCTTAGATGATAGTTTTACTTTATTTCAGTGGATGCTAAGTTTTCATTCATCTAGCAGGGGCGCTTTATCCGAGGAAGCCATCGCTCTCTGGTACTGATAGGGTTCTCGGCTTCCGTACTTACGAGTAGGGAAGAGCCCACGTGTGGTTAAGGATTAAGGTCAGCGCTCAGTCCTTGGTAGATGATTGGACGGACAGCACGGTTGAACTTTTTCTTGGACGCCTTGATCTTAAAGGGCAGAAGGAGGTGGGGTTAAAGCGGCAGAGCTGGAAGGAAGCCAAGGCCAGTTTACCTTAACACTCAGACGCGTGGAGACCATCTCAGTTGGGGGGAGACCCTCGACCAGGCCCAGACTCGCCCACCAGCCACAGCGGCCTCCGGACGGCGGCATGCGGTGCAGCCGCCTGTCCTCTTTGGCTGCCGCCACTCCCTGACATCTGTGTGGGCTCACGAGAGGCTCTTGAGGACTGGATGTCACGGTGGCCTTGAGAGGGAAACGTTTCTGCCCTCCCCAGCACACTGCCAGCCTGTCCTTCCCTGGGGTGGGACCTTTCAGACGGCTGAAATGCGTGAGCTGGCGGTACAGATCTGATCCGGATGCCAGACTGCAGTGTCCAGTCATCCTCAGGTCCCCCCCTGCCCCCCCTCCACGATGTGCTGGCCTTGCTCTTGCCCCTCCCTCTCCTCACCTGTGGGAGGGTGGTGGGCTTTCCTGCACAACCTCCCTGGAGGACCCAGTGTTCCGACAGCAGACCACCCGGGTCTCACTGATAGTCCCCATCACAGTCTGCAGGGGTGTCCAGGGTGTCGCTGGAGATCAGGCGTGGGGGCTGCCAGGCACCCCATGCCCGGTGCAGCAGCAGGAGCCCATGCACCCAGTTCTCCGTCCGTACCAGGTCTCACGGGCCCCCAGAGGAGCGCCGCCGTCAGGACCGTGTACCGGGTGCAGGTCTGCGGGCAGAGGCCCGTTGGTTGGGTGGGAGAACACGAGGTTACGGTGCCCACCTGCAGCTGTCTGACCCGTGTGTGCGTGCATGTGCATGCGTGTGCCACGTCTACAGGACAGAGACCTGCACACGTGCCGGCCACACGTGGTTCACCAACATGGGTCTCGCACGGTCCGGGGCTAATGAGGTTCAGCGGTTACCTCTGGTGGATCAGGGCTCTGTGCCAGGGTCAGCGCCCGGGGGAGGAGGAGCACATGGAACAATGAAGGATTGGGGGTTTTACCGGGACAGACAGACGGGCACCTTCCTTCCTGGATAAAACCCTTCAGGAAAGAAAGCGCTCGGCGGGCGGGGCAGCATCAACACTCAGCGGCTCACTCTCTCCGCACGACACAGGCCAGGCCAGACGGAGACAAAGAACAAGGGTTTCAGCAGGGCGCTGAGTCCGAGAAATGCTGTCCTTGGGGGCCCCAGGGAGCAGCCCTGGAGGCCGGGCTCGGTGCTCGGGGCCCGGGGACTGCAGTAGTGAGCCTGCACCCAAGCCCCTGTCCCGCTGAGGAGAGCCTGTCTGTGAGAAATCGCTCTTCCCCACACGGGGCAGGTGGGAGGAATTGCCCGGAGCTGCTCTGTGGCCTCACAAGGAGCCTCGGGCGACTCACTGTCCCTGTGTTGTGTCCCAAGGAAGGGAGGTGCTGCAGCAGCCTGGCAGGCAGTGACACGCGGTGACACGCGGTGGAGAGCTGGTGGGTCCCAGGCGTCCCAGTGGTATTTCGGAGGGGCTGAAACGAGTTGATTTTCCTTGGGCTTCTACAGCTATCTCTTCCTTCTGGGGAACAATGACTTCTGAATTTTAGCAGCCTTTTCCTACCCCCAAACCCACGTGCATAAGATGGGCTTTGCTTCTGCTGATGCAACTGTCTCTCAAATGTCCATCTTCCGCCCCCTGTTGCAATAGGAGATCCTGTGGGATGGGGAGATGGGGAGGGAGTGAGCGGTGGGTCCTCTTGATGTCCTGTCTGGCCATGTGTTTAAATGGGACATGCTTCTAATTTCAAATCCAGCCTTGCTTTTATTTAATTTTTTTTAAACGTTACCTCTCTTCCAACTGTTTTGTCTTCATTACTTCTATTTACCACCTTTCTCTTTCCTCTCGCTTAAATAACGCCTTGGGTTGTTTGGGATGCTGTTCTCAGGTGTTCTGTTGCTTTTGTTCCTGGACCTCATGGTGGTCAGAGAATCGTGATTGTTCGGTTGCCTTTTTTTCATAGCTTAGTCCATTTTGTTTTTTCATAGCTTAGTCCATTTTTGTTTCTCGGGCATCCGAGTTCCTAAACATTACATTTATTAGTTGGCAGACAAAGATTCATAAAGGCTATTTTTATGCACCCCCCCCTCCCCATCCTTTGCCTGGAGCTTCCTGTGGTTAAGGGTTTGCTTTTCTGGCGGTGGCACTGGCCACCACACCAGGGGCCACGGAGCCTCCCTTGACCCAGAGAGGGACAGGTTGCGCTGCCGCCGTTTTTGTGCTCTGGCTTTGTCCTGCCTGCCTTCCAGTTGCGTGTTCCCAGCATCTTTGTTTGTTTGTTTCATCTCGTTTCTGGTTGTATTGTTTTTGGTGGGTTTTTTCCCTAAGACACAACCAGCCACACATGGGTCTGCAGGCCTCTTCCGCTGTGGCTTCCTGTTCCTTTTTGTCGAATCTCAGAGGCAGGAGATGCTTGAGCTCAGCCTTTTGAATCTTCAGAGCGCTCACGGCCCCTGATGCCCTGATCGGTTTTCTCCCAGGAGGTCTCTGGGGACGCTGAGCTGCTGTGGGGGGCCGGCTGTGGGGGCCGGGGGTACCCCAGTACTTCGTCATGCATGCTATTTGGAACGGCATCTTTTTTCCCCCTTTTTTCTTTATTTTTGTTGATGTTTGAGTTGTGGATGAGGACGACCTCTGCAATCATGATGTCTCCCGTAGACACTCCCCCGCTTTCTGATGCTCGGCCCCAATGCTTCTGTGATTTACTTTGCTCCGCTCATAGCCTCCAGCCGCCTTACCAATAACCCTGTAGACCTTTTAAAGGAAATAAATTGAGGATCACTTGTTGCCATCTCATTTGCATTAGAAATCAGGCAGCAGAGACGGCAAGAAAGCCGCCCAGGGTGGGGCTGGTGCTGCTGGCACCACCAGGTGCCAGCACCGCTGAGAGCCCTGGGCCCTGGGTCTCGGCCGCGTTGTTGCTGAGGCAGCGGAGCTCCCACATCCCCTCTGCTGACCGCACGTGGACAGTAGTGGAACCAGCCTCCCCAAGCCCCTTTTTGTGTTAACATAAAAGGGAGCCGCGCAAGCCTTGCCGTTTCCAGGTGGCAAGTGCCTCCCCCCCGCCCCGCACCCATCCCCTGCCCCCTCTGGCAGAGTTCGGCACCTGTGGGCCAGTGAAAAGAAATGTAAAGCAACAAAGACCGAAGCCGATTCTGACCCCTGAAAGGGGAAACCAAATTGACCCCCACGGGCCCCTCAGCCCCTCGAACTGGATCCACTACTGACCAAAGAACACCAGTGGGGAGCCCCGTCTGGACTGGGCCGGAAGCTGGAATCCGATGCTCTGCACGCAGGGCCCCCGGAGCGTGGTCGTTTTTGAGGGACCACCTTCGATCCAGAACATTGGTGTTTCCCCTTCCTGGCCCAGCTCCAGGTAACGAGGTAGCTCATCGCTTCTTGCATCTGTGGAGGGCCATACTGGGTTTCTTTTCTTCTCTCACGGGTGTACGTGGATGCAAGAAATATGTTTTGTCCCCCCCTCCCCCATGTACCCCATTTAGCACACCACCCCGGGAAGTGCATGTCACAGACCAACTCCACCTTCACCTTCACCACCTGTCGCATCCTGCATCCTTCAGACGAGCTCACGCGGGTCACGCCAAGGTAAGGGACCCCACCCTGGGGGTTGGGGACACCGCCTGCGAGATGCATTGTTGAGAAAAGCCCAGGTGACAGGTGTGTCCAGCTCCAACCCTGGCCACCTGACACATCTCGTAAGCACCTGCAGGCTCCTGCACAGAACCCCTGTTTCCTTTCGAATCTCGGTCCCTATTCATTCAGAGCGACGCAGGTGGGGAGACCTGGGCCACCTTCAGTGGCCCCGTGCGTTGGTCGTGGAAGGGTCGCAGGCCTCTCCCTCCCCAGCGGAAGCTGGCCCTCCACAGGCCCTAAGGCCAGGTCTGTTGGCTCTTCACCCTGAGTCTGCCAGCAGAGAGCATGGAGTTTCTCCACAGGTGGGAGCTCCTGCCCCGTGGGGGCCCCTGTGCCGCTGGAATAGACCACAGGGACCACACACCACAGCCACACAGCTCTGAAGACCAGGCCGCATGCCCCGTGCACCCCATTTCCCTCTGGTGCCCCCCAGGGGCAGTAGAGGTTGGCACCATCGGGAGGAGGGGCTTGTACGGCACGAGGGGGCCTGCGTGGCTGGGTTTCAGGCCTTCCACAGTTTCTAGTAAAAGGAAGTGACCACCCCCCAACCCAGTACTTTCTCTGTGGTGCAAGATGCAGGGAGAACAAAGGCAAAGCGGAGAGGGAGGGAGGCAAGCAGGGCCAGCGTAGAGGGAGCAGCGCCCCAAGGAGCACCTCCCCAAGGAGCACCCCCCGAAGGAGCACCTCACACTCTGAATAACTCTCCGCAGGTCATGGGCGGAGGACGGCGAAGCAGCCCCAGGCCCTGTTGAGCTGAGAGGAGGTGTAGGGCAGACAGTGAGCCCGCGGGAGAGGCAGGGGGTGAGCACACGCGGGCGGCGCCTGCCCCGGCAGGGCCGCGTGCAAGGGGCTGTGTGTGCACGCGTGGCCGCCACTAACCCAGGACGCAGGTGTGGGTGTGCCTCTGTGGTGGTGCCTGGCTAACTCGGCCTTGACGGCGGACACCCTTAACCCATCTAAACGCCCCGGTGCAGCCGAGCCCCAGCACTAATACGGCCTAACCGAAGTTCTCACCGAACGGGGCTCTCCAGGTTGTAGCGCGTCTCCTCCTCCTCCCTCCCTGCCCCTGGAGAGCCTGGCTTTCCCCTTCCCCGTAGGAAGAGCTCACATTTAAAACCGTGGGACAGGGCTTTCCCCCGGGAGAGGCAGGCACCCTGAGTCCGAGGACTCACGCCTGCACGGTGCCTGCGTCTGCAGGGCCGGGCAGGGCTGGGAAAGCCTGGGCAGCCGCAGAGAATGCCCATTCCCGTTTCAGAGAATGGCAGCTCGGAACGAGATGGAGACCCTCCCTGGGAACCGTTTAAGTCCAGAGCTCTGCAGACCCACACGTTGTAGAATTCCACCGGCACCACTCGGAGAGTCCACCCTTCCACCTTAGGAATCCGCTGTGGTTTCTAGTCTCGGGTTTCTCTGGGTGCCCCCGGCCACCAGCACCCCAACCCTGGCACTTGTGCCGGATGGGCCTGTTCGATTTCTATTCCTTGATGACCCTGTGCTGACTGGTCAGTGGCAAGGGCACCTGAGTGTGGGACCAAATGATGCCTCAGCTTGGACTGGCCTGTGAGCTGTGCCTCCTGCAGAGGCCCCTACTCTGGTCATTCCAGGAACCTGCTCCAGAGCATGTTCCCTGCCTTCCCGTTCCCTGCCTTGGTGCTTTGTCCCAGGGATCGGGTCCTTCCTCCGTCAGGCTGAGGGGAGAGGGCCCTGTCCCCCTGCTCCTGGGGACCACCCAACTGGCTGCCACCAGGGGCACCTGCAGCCACAGGCACCTCCGCGGGCGGCCCTGGGGCAGGTCTCCAGAGGCTGTAGGGAGGACGCGCTGCCTGGTCCTCGGCCACTCGTGTGGCAGCAGAGCAGGGCTGCTGCCTGGTGGCCTCACCTCTCCCGTGGCAGCCGTCACAGGAGGCCCCCTCCCATTCTCTGAGCAGACAGCAAGGCATGTCCCCTACTGGTCCTCACCCACTTTTCCGTCCTGATTCCCGATCCCAGCTTGCGGAACACAGTGGGTCCTCAGCCAGCAGGACGTGAGTGGACGCAGGAGTCCACTTCCCTTCAGTGACCGGTTCCAGGCACCCGCTGGGCCTGCGCCTGAGGCTTCCTAGATGTGGAGCTGATAACACAGGGCCGCTTCCCCTGACCCCATCCCTGCACTTGTCAAGTTTCAGGTCTGGGCGACCTTGGCAGGGGCTGAGCGCCGCCCCGTGCGGAGGAAAAAGCACCGTAGTGGGAGTCAGCCGGTCCTGCTGACCCAACGTGCATGTTCAGCCTCCGACTTCCCCAACCTGGATGTCCCGCCTGCTTCAGCCCTTCCTAGATAAATCCCTATCCCATAGCACAGGTGGCAAACACAGGGCCTGCGGCCAAATCCGGCCCTGCACCTTGTTTCTACCTGGCAATGGCACCGAGCTCTCTCTCAACTGTTAAGGACCAGTTACGTGTATACAGTCCCAAAATTACATTCGGCCCTTTGAAGGCAACTGCGAAGCTGATGTGGCCCCCAGTGGAAATGAGTCTGACACCCCTGCCCTGTAATCGTGGGCAGCCTTGGGGAAGTGGGTGGGGAGGAACACTGGAGCTTGAGTTAACTTGGAGGGGCAAGAAAGCTTCTCTGTCAAAGGGCTTCCTCCCCCATTTTTTGGAGGGTCACTATACTTGGGCTCAATTCCAGGGTCTTCTACTTAATAGCTGAGGTGACACTGAGTCAGCCACCCAG